AAAGAGTGAAAAATTTAAGGGGGTCTGAATACTTTCCGTACCCACTGTATATATATATATATATATATATATTTTATCCACAACCTGATACTTGTCTGTATTCTGGAGATGTTCACAGTTAGTGCTTTGGAATACGTTTTGGAATGGTTATCTCATGCATTAATTCACACAATCTTGCTGGCTGGCTTCTTCTGACCCCTTCCTCAACCAAACCCCAAATAGAGACAAACTTTCCAGTGCTTTTAAGCTTCAAAAATAAATCTGCAATGCTCAAAGCCAAAATATGTTGCTCAGCATGTCCCAGGCAAACATGGGAACAGCCATGCAGATGTTAAATTTGTACCAAAATGTAAACAAGAAACAAAAGCACAAGTCAAATACTGCTTTCCTGAAATACGTACACTTTAACCAAGAATGAATCATTTCATTATGCCCTTGAGGGATATTAAAAACCCTGCATAACATGAGTAAAACGACTGCACACATAAAATCAGTTCCTGAAGGCTGATCATTCACCCATAATACAGTCTGGAATGCTATACAATTGACAAAAACAACTGAGGCTGACCCATGATATGCTTCCCCAGAATCAAATAAACACCTTTGGGGCCTTGGAACTCCAGACTTTTATCAACAAGGCATTGTTACAGATGGCAGCTTTAAATGTTACACCTTTCATAATCCATCTTTTTGTGTTCAGTCTGCTTTCCTCTCAAGATTATACCATATTTTATACCATAACAAATATATTTCTCTAAAACAGTTTGAAGACGTAATGCTATAATGACTCTGGGGTCAGCCGAATTGTAACATAGATATCGGAATCCCTCAATATGACGACGTAAACACGCAAGCGCACTCACACAAACAGCTAGAAAACACAGAAACAGATGGCGCAATCCAAAATACAGCACAGTATTCCTCCACATAATAAATAGATTTATCAACAACCTGTTCATCGAAATTAAAAAATAAAATTTCATTGAGCGAATAAGTACACATTGCACAAAAGAAAGCATGACCAACATCCTGAAGGAGGAATCCACCAAATAAAACACACACACACAACACATTTGTTAAATACAGCAGTTCTGTCAAGAGCTTTGGGTCAGATGAACTGAAAGCACATGTATATACAGTGCCGATCAAAGAGGTGCCACTGTGACCCTCATGTGAACAAATACGCCCTCTTCACTCGAAATGTGCGTTTGAAAGCCTCGAGGACAGAGCTCTTCAGTGCACTTTTGATATGGCATGTATTTGCTGTAAATATAATCACAATTCAGAACTACTTAACATTTTTCCCCACTAGGAAGACATAATCACTATGAATATGTATAGAAGATATATTTCGACAAGCTAAGCACATTGGTCGTGCTACAGGATGCACGGGGGGTCTTTTGCATGAACACCCAGAAAAATAAGACCCATGATTTGAGTATGCAGTAAAGCATAGTGACTGTTACTGCTGCATGTGACACACTCTGAAACTAAACATAGGCAATAGAAACAGGTAAAAGATACATTCATAATGAGTTAAACAACAAAAAAAAGATATCTCTGGTCAAGCCCATTTTACAGATATGATGGCGTAGAACAAGTCAGACACAGCCAGGCATTTGAAATCTGTGCATTTGATAATAAGTTTTTGTTATTGTGTATTTGCATTGGGTTACAGAATAAAGGGACAGTTCACCAAAAAATGATCTCAAAAATAATTTACTCACTCTCATGTTGTTCCAAACCTGTTTGACGTTCTTTCTTCTGTGGAACATACAAGAACATATTTTGAAGAATGTTTCAACTGGTTTTGTCCATATAATGGAAGTCAATGGGGTCCAAAACAACCTATTTAGACCCCATTGAGTTCCATTGTATGGGGGAAAAAAATACATTTTCAAAATATCTTCTTTTGTGTTTAGACATGAGGGTAAGTAGAGGATGAAACTGAAATCGTAATGAGATATACAATTAAATATTTGTAAATGTTTTACATCTGATCATGTAGCTTAAAGCTGAATGATCTGCAGTCTAATGTGTAATATACTAAATCTGGCCACTGAAGTGTAAAATGTTTCACACAGATGTGTGTATATGCAGGTTAATACGCAAATGACAGGTTTTTTGCCTATTATTTTAAAAACTAAAAATATACTAACATACTGTGTTGATTTCCTCTTGGTTTCCCATCTACGTTGGGCTAAAAGAAACGGCCAGATCTATTTTGGACAAACTTTCAACACCACACTTTTATACAAACCATACACATATTATAGATACACAATAATATTTTCTTTGTAATTTACATACACTTTCTCCGCTGTATCATCTCTCTGTAAATTCATTTCTGGAAGGGATGTGGGCGTTTTTGATGCTGGTATTAGTCCTGGTTGGGATCGGAGGGGGGATCGTGGGAAATGTGGAAGTGGGAAGTGACGTCCAGTTGTTGTCCATGCCAAAGCCTGAGCTGGGGAAGCTGCTCTGAGGTTGTGGGAAGGGAAGGGATGAGGCTGCAGGTAAAAGCGGCGGGCCGGTCCCACCAGCAGATGGTGCCTTTCCTGAAATTAAGTCTGAATCATCATCGAATGTGACCCATTTTTGGTTTTGTTTGGCTGGGGCCGCTGCTGGAGCAGGAACTAAGGATTGATGTCTGGAGAACGATGGTGGAAGAGTTGAACTGTGAACCACAGCTGACATGGCCCTGCTGAGGCCCGGGCTGGCCTTCTGGGCCTGCTGCTGGGTGTAGAAATCGGGTATGAGCGATCGGCGTGGGGAGGACAATAGGTTGCCGGTGAAAGGGTTGGTGCTGCTGGGTCTGGGTTGGGCTTCTGCGAGATTGGGGGATGAACGGAGGGTCTCCTGGGATTTGCTGCGGCAGGGTACAGGTGGAAGCAGAAGACATGGAGTGCTGCTGGTGTCCGGAGCTGAGAATAGGGAGAGGGAGCTGGGTAATGTGGAGGAAGAAGAAGGGGAGGGGGTGGATGAGGAAGAGGAGCGAGGGAGGGAAGCGGAGAACGATGTGTTCTGGAAGAGGGACTGGGTGTTAAGCATGTCGAAGGGGTCTAGTTTCCATTGTGCTTCTCTTTGGACTCCATTCATGTCCTTGACCTGAGGAAAGAAAACACACAAAGTCTACATTATGAAATCAAACTTACAGCTTAAGGAGAAGCTACAACACAATGGAGTTGCAGAGTCAACATGAAATCAAATGAGATTTTATTAAATATATTGGGGGAAAATTATAACCTTTGTAACCTTCCTTAACCCTCCTAAGCTTTTTTAAAAAAATGGTCACACCTTGGCTGTTTGGACAATAAGAGTTTTTTTTTATTATTATTATTTCTTCTTCTTTTTATTATTTAATTTTTTTTAATGAAATTCTACTGAACTAACTTTCTTTTTAAGTAGTAACTTTTTAAGTAGTAACAAATAGTTTGGGGGATTTTAGGTTCATAAGCTGACAAATAACTGCCCCCTTTGGCTGTTGAGTTGAACCTCTTCTTTAAATAAATGGTATAACACTAATTTCCTCAAGCAGTAACAATAAAAAAAAAAAAAACATTTCTTTTGATTTTTTAGATTAAGCAATTCACCAAATTACTGAATGCACCTTTAAATATCCTCTTTCACTCACAAATATGTATAATTACAGATGTAAAAAGGGTTTGAAACATCATTTCATGTTGACTTTAAATTATAAAACAATGTGTTTATTACAAGTTGATAAAAAACACAATGACTTATTGGTTAAAACATAAATGGTGCAATGAGAGACCTTAAAATAAATCAAAATCAGAAAGATCTGAATCTTATTTATTAAACTGTCTAATGAAACAATGAAAACAGCATTATACAACATCAAAAACACAAATATAATTAGTGTACAAGTCTACTAGAGGTAAAGTAAAGCTATTTACTCATAAAATTACTTTCTCTTATTCAAGAAACACTGGAAACAAATATACCGCAGATTGAAAACAAACAATACCCACAACAAATACTGGATGACGCTTTCCTTGAACCCCCTGTTGGAACTACTTAATTAAACTCATAACCTGGGATTTTTTTCTCGAAATCGCAATATACAATAATGTCAAGGGGTTCAAGTTAAGCTTAACACTTTTCTGATACTCAAAATAAAAAAAGGTCAAATTAAAGATGGAAAGGGGAAAAACAACTCTAACATGGAGGATCCTATATGTATGAGCACTCCATACATTGTGACTACAGGCTATGGTGCCATGAAGGCAACGTAAAGACTAGAAATGACTTAATCCAGTACCTGTCAACCTGAGGATTGCTCCTGCTAGTAAAAGAGAGAAACACATGCATCAAGAAGAGCGAAACATGACTATAAGAACCACCTGGATAAAGTCGATATTACTAGGAAAGGAAAAAAAAAAAAAAAAGAGGAAGAGGCCCCTAAAGCTGGGTAATGACCCCAGGATGGGCTCTCTTTATCACAATTAAATGTTGGGCTTGTTATCAGAGTAAGAGGACTAACCTGAGATGTAGGAACAGAAGCAGACTCGGGTGGCAGTGCGTGAGAGGACCGGCTCCGGGGTGGAGGCTTAGGAGATGCCAGTCCGGGCTGAGGGGTGGCAGCGGCTCCAGTAGATGCTTGAGGAGCAGGCTGAGGCACCAGCGGGGCAGGGAAGGTGGGCTGCATTGGTGGAGGGAGCTGGGATTGTATGGGTGGAGGCAGTTGGACTTGGACTGGAGGCTGCATTGGTGACACAGACTGAGGCTGCATGGGTGATGTCATCTGAGGCCTCATGGGACCTGGCAGTGGACCTGACGCACAGACACACAGCATTATTACATGGCAAAAAAAGTTGTTAAAATGGTAAAATATATGTATAAATCTGGTATAAAATATATATAAAGTTTTAAAAAGTTTAATTTTAATAAATTAATAAAAAATATTAATAAAAGAATACAGTATCAATAATAAGTAATTTAATTACTATTATTATCAATAATAATTATTATTACTATCATTTTAATAATTTTAAGTTATTTAGGTAATTCAGCAACTACTGAATGTACTTTTAAATATCTTGTTTCAGTCAGAAATATGTATTATTATAAAAAGGGTTAAAAACATATTTTTAAACAACGTATTTGTTACAAGTTTTGATCAAATTCACAATGAATTAGTGGTTAAAGCATCAACGGTCTAATGACAGACCGGGGTTATTACAGTTATCTAAAACTAAAACTGAAACTAAAATTAAAAACATTAAAAAATAATTTTCATTACTTGGAAAAAAAACAAAAAAAAGTTAACCGAAATAAAATAAAATAAAAAAACTGTTTATTTCAGCAAGTTGCCAAGGCATAATTTCTCCTTTTAATTTATTTTAGATTGATGTACTAAAATAACTAAAACTATCTATATAGGCATATAAAACAAAAACTACTAAGATGACAAAAACTAAAACTTTAAACTTAAAATGAAAACGGAAAATATAAAAATAAAAACTTGTTAATAAAAACTATAATAGTAAATTATAAAACTATAATAGTATAATAGTAAAAATACTCTGACAGAAAAATCGAAATATGAAAAATCTGAATCCTGTTTATTAAAATGTTATAAAATGCAATAAAATAGAAAAAAAAAAAATATTGAAGAAAAATGAATAAATCATTAGAAGTGTTTAACAAACCCAGAGGCAGTTCAGACGGTTTGCTTTGGGGTTCAGGAACGGGTCTTGGTGCTCCGGGGTGATTATCAGGTGAGGGTCGTGGTGCCCCAGGATGCACCTCTGCTATAGGTCTGGGGGCCCCAGGATGAGCAGGAGGAGGAGGTCTAGCCTGAGGAGGGACGCTGATGACTCCTGCTCGAGGTGGGATCTAAAACAGAAACCATAATATTTACACTGTATTTTAATTAATTAATAAAAATAAAAAAAATCTCATTAAGCCTACCCACCGGCTGCGAGGCGCCTCCAGCGGCTGATCCGGTGGCTTGACCTCGACCTGAAAAACAGCCGATGAAAATAATCAAACATTCAGTAATATTTATAAGAAATACGTTTGTAAAAATATCAGAAAACCTATTTTATTAACTTCAGTCAATTTGGCACAATTTCTACAAATGTGATAATAACAGAACAATACTTTACACAATAAATTTAATCAGATGCTTTAAAAGTAAGTCTGGAAAATATCAGATCAGTGCTCCTGTCAAGAATGTAGCTCTATTTTGTGTTGAAACTAGCCTGGGGTTACAATATTCTGGCATGAGGAAGGCCCAGATATGTCTGTCAATGAAATCTTCTGTCAGTTACAGATAGTTGATGTTATTTTGGAGGGCTGATGAGCGAAGGCAGTGTGTAAGAACTCACCAGCTGCATCTGCACGTGCTAATGCTGGGCTTTTTTGTCCTTTTGTCAGCATGAGGGAAAAATTATTCAAAAAATGTAAAATAATTGTCTGTTTTGTAGCACGTTACAGTCTTTAGCTAGAGAGAAAATATATCTGACCCAACAGACTCCTTACCTGATATAGAGATCATTTCTATCATTCTCTATTCAATTACAAAAACTACTTCGCCTAATTCAACCCATCACTTCACAATGAAACACTAAGCCAAAATCACTGGAATACCTGAGACTTCATGCACTGCATCATGGCAAGATGGTTGACCTGAACACCCCTGCCCCATCTAAATTAGTCTATTTCTGTTAGCAAGTGCAGGAGGTCTAAAATCGAAAATCGAAATCTAAAATCGAAATCTTTTCAGAAATTACCTTCATAATCAATCAGATCAAACTCTAGATTGAGAGGCTCAGCAAAGCCTTCGAAAGAAAATTCAAAATGTTTCCAAAAAATTACATAAACCAAAATCGGTAATAAAAAGCAAAATCCACATGGCAAAAAGGCAAACTTACAATGAGGCTCAGGAAAAGCATGAAGAAACACAACCAAAGAGAGCACAGAACTGCATCGTTGTGCATTACATCTAAAAAAAGTCAGCCAGACATTTTTCTCTATGCCAACCTAATATCAGGTGCAACTAACCAAGTCAATAAACACTAAACAGCATTAAGTCAATAATCAACTGCTAATACACAGTACTGGTTCATGTACAGCGTTACCTGCTGAATCTTTCCTAACAGGTGTGGGACTTCTGCCTCCTTTATAAACCACAGGACAGTGTGAAATAAATTAAATGTGAATTAAATAAAAAATAAAATAATTGAAAACATAGCATCTAATGTAGTGGGTGTTTCAATCTTAGATAAAACTCATGACTTTTGGAGTTTGACTTCTTGTGAGAACAGATCTTTTATGACCAAAAATCTGTCATGCCTGTGTAAACATTTACAAAGAATTCACAGCTGTACCTGAGGGTGGTGGTGGGCGCTGTGGAGGTGCAGGTCGGGCTGGTGGGGCGTTGGGGCGTGGAGGAGGGGGGCGTTTTGGCTCTAGTCCCTGTGAAGAGGAAGCTCCAGCTGGCTGACCATCAACAGGAGAACCTGAGAAAAGAGAGAGGAAAAAAACATTCTATTACAACAAATGACCTGTCATATCAACAGCCTGAGGGATTTAGCTCAGCTCACAGCACTGCAAACCACACTGAAGCCTTAACACACACACACAAACACACACTCTCTATAAGAGCTCAGGAACCACTGAAGCACATCGGCAACACCTCTGCAAACAGCACTCTTTACCTGCCAGTTCCCTTCTAATGGATGCTGGGCTTAATCCTCCTTTTTGCAGTGTAAAAACAAAGGGAAATGAATGTACTGTAATTTTGTATGTTGCAGAGTATAATGACAAATGAACATTTTTGCACAACTCTATAAATTTAAATCTACTATTTATGCAAGTGAATTAATTATTAAAATAATAGTTTATGTTCTTGAAAGTAGACAACCTAAAATAATTATTTTGTGTTAATATATTATAAATTGTAATTTATTCCTGTGATGGCAAAGCTGATTTTTTTTAGTCGCCATTACTCCAGTCTTCAGTGTCACATGATCCTTCTAATATGCTGATTGGGTGCTCAAAGAAACATTTTTTATTATTATCAATGTTGATTATCAATATTTTTTATGGAAACCATGATTCTTTGGTGAATAGAAAGTTCAAAAGAAAACCATTTATTTGAAATACAAATCTTTTGTAACATTATAAATGTCGTTATTAATTTCTGTCAAAATATTTAAATCTCACTGAACCCAAACTTTTGAACATTTATATGTGAATTATAGAAAAAGACAAAGCTAAAAATTTATATAAATCCATAAGAGTTTGTCCATGTTGAGTAGAGTCAAATACTAGCACTACCCTGTGGTGGTCCAGCTGTGCGTGGAGGGGCTCTGCTGGGCCGGATGGGGGCCGCAGGTTCTCCGTGGGTAGGAGAGGGGCAGGGGCTGGTGCATGGCGATGTGGCAGGGGAAGCGCCCAGATCCATGCCTGCTCCAGGTTGCAGGTGCTGGGGTAAAATATCCTCAACCTCCTCATCCACATCACCTGTCAACACAGCAATAACAATGCAACTCCATACTGCCCCAGAGTTCCACAGGTTCCTGTTGCATTTTGGTACCATGTAACCCAAACAGGTGCCACACCTTCCATGTCATACTCTTCTCCCATGTCAGAGTTTTCTGCCAGCAGGGTAGAGCTGATGGATGTTGGGATGCTACCGCAGATTCTCTCCACACTCATTTCCTCCTCTAGACTCTTTATCCAACCTGGACTCCTCAGACGAATGTCTATGGTCTTACCATTCACCTGCATGCAAACACAAAGAGGGATGGTAAAAAAAAAAGGGTCAATTTTAGGGTGCCATGCAATAAATATGTGCATGTGAATTTTCATATGGTCAATATATAAAATTGAATCTTAAATACAGTCTCTTACAGTAGAGCCACTCAAAGATAGAGCTGCCAGAGCAGAGTATCCCTCCAAAAATGTCACCCACATTTTCTCTTCAACAAACCTGTTCAGCAGAAAAAAAATATTTATAATTTTTGTATGTATATGTTTTTGAAAGAATATTACAGTCACCAAGGTTGCGGTTATTTAAAAAAAAAAAAAAGTAAAAACAGTAATATTGTGAAGCATTACTACAATTTAAAATGACTATTTGCTATTTTAATATATATTAAAATGTAATTAATTCCTGTGATGCCAAAGCTGAATTTTCAGCATCATTACTCCAGTCTTAAGTGTCACATGATCCTTCAGAAATCATTCTAAAATGCCGATTTGTGCTTAAGAAACATTTCTTATCAATTCTGAAAACAGTTTAATGCTTAATGTAGTGGAAATTTTTATTTGTAGGACTCTTTGATGAATGAAAAGTTTAAAAGAACAGGATTTATTTGGAATAGAAATGTTTTGTAAAATTATAAATGTCTTCACTGTCATTTTTGAATGAAATTTTTATTAAATATAATTGGAATTAAATTATATATAAAAAATAGCCAGTACCTGATAAGAATAACCTCGCCAAAATTTGCAAACTTGTCCAACAGGTCGTCAATCAGTGCATCATCAAAGTAGTCATCGGGACCAGATGTGCAGAGAGAGACAAGGATGGTGCCATCTGGTGGACCCTGCAGGGCGATCACTTCCTTATACACCTGATGTCTGGCCTCTGGATCCACCTCAAGTATGTCCATATCCATGATAGCCACCACAGGCCTGCAAGAAATAAATGTTAAGGGTACAAGAACAGAGATTCCTAGCCTTAAAGCACCTGTGGCCCACACAAACAAACTCAAAATTTAAAAAATGACTTGACATATTAATAGACTAGTTGCACAAGATGACATCGGTTAGTTTTGGTGACGCGAGAGTGGGTATTCTTATTTCCGGTCTCTGCGACGTTCGCATTTACTGTAAGGGGAAACTCATACGAAACTTGGCTAAATAGATATAATTAACATTTTCAAATTAAATAGCGGATAGCGGTATATCAAAGACAAGAGAAAACTTCCTCCTCACATTGCATTACGTTACCTCTGTGTGGACATTCATCAAGATATAACGCGGAGATTCCTTCATTCTTTCTTCTGTTGATTAACTTATGCGGTTCAGCGTCAGTGGTTAGTCAAAATCCACGGGGATCTTCATTCAAACACAAACCACTCAAATGTGCAAATCTGTACATTTTCGGAGAACTGAATTTGTTCTGATGCTGGGGACATGATCTGTACATTCTCCAGAACAACTCCAGCCTATCTATAAGATCTGAGATCAGAAGGTTTGCGACTGTCAAACGAGATGCTCAGAGATTTCAATCTGCATTATGGACTCGATGTATGTTTTATTAACTTTATTTGGTAACACTATTTATAACTGTATCTGTACAATTTAACAATTATTGTAGTTTTGCATTTATTAAAAGATCCGTGTTTGAATTTCCCTGTGTGTTTTTATTAATATTATCTGTTTTGTGCAAATGAGTTTAAGAGCATCTGTTGCATGAATGATAACGATCTGTCTGGTGTCTATAAGCAGCCACATACAATATATTTTTATGAATCGTCTGCATTAATTAGGCTACCTAAAATAAAACCTTTAAATTTGTAGTTATATTTATTAGGATTATCTTTTTACAGCCTGTGTTTTCATCTGTAAAAATGACTAATGCAAAGATATCTGTGTAAATGTAAAATGTTAAAATATGTTGTGAAATTGTTGATGGAACAAATTGATGTGCAGAATTGAGAAATGTATATTTATGAAGATTAATTGCAGGCCATGTATCACAAGGCAATGTATTTCAGTTCAAATGTTATACAAAAAGTCAATTTAATACCAACATTTTTCGAGAAATAATATATTTATGGATGGGTATGTAATGTTTACTTGTTTTTATCGGCTAATATAGTCTAAAGTTATGTTTTGATTGTTTTAAGATGTTTTACTTTTTAAAATTGGTTTAGTTATTTAGCCTATTTGTGCGTTTACAATAATTTGTACATTTACATAATTGCTAAGGAAACAAGACATTGTGTATGTATACGCACCATGAGTTCAAGGCAACTTTCATTTCGTGAACAGTATGGATTAGATTTCATTAATTCACCTGACCCAAACATACGCAAGTTTCAAATGCCACTGGCTCAATTAACATATATAGTATAGTATTTAAGTGATATTATAAATCCTGTAAACATATATAGAAGGTAAGATTCAGGTTTTTCCGGCTCTCTGCACTGACGTTTAGGAAAAATGGAAGTATCTTTACTAGGGTTGCAAAAAGGTGGAAAATTTCCAGTAAATTTAGGAAACTTTCCAGTATTTTTTGGAATATTCCAGGGATTTTTGGAAAGTTTCCACCCCTTTGCAACCCTAATCTTTACCCATTCTTGCTGATCGGAAATCCAACACTGCCCACTGACAGCCTCCTGCAGTACCTCTGAGGGCCACTGGAGTGCAATAAAACATTGCTGATGTAAAATTGAAAGGATGTGTTCATTCCAGTGCTCATTTTGACAGCAAATTTTGATTTAGTTTTAGTCATAGTCTTTTGACTAAAATGCCATTTAGTTTTAGTCATATTTTAGTAATCTGAATTGTTTTTGGGTTTAGTCTAGTTTTAGTCGACTATCATACGATTTTAGTCGACTAAATCTACAGTAAATTTAGTCGGCTAAAATCTAATGGGTTTAGTTACAGTGCATTTATTAAGCATTTCTCAAAAATTTCCAAACTCATTATATAGGTTTGATATTAAGGTTTAATCATGATAGACACCGATTTAACTGCGGTCACACAACATGCCACACAAAAACCACTTCTAATACAGAACAAGATCATGGTCTTCTTTTTAATGAAATACCAATGGTTATATAGGCTAATTATGCATTCTTTATAGCAACTTGTTTACCATATTCTTCATTCTTTCAAGCAGACATATTTATTTCTATAATAGCAACTAAATTAGGCTGCTGTCCCTTTAAAACCGAATGCACAGCTGCAATGGATGCAATGTACTGACACACGTTCTCCCTACTGTTAATGTTCACTTAAGATGTAATCAACTGTGTTTACGTGAATACTCATCAAAACGGACAATTCAACATCATTTTGTGTGTAATTCTCCGTTCATGCAACGCGAAAGAGTACTCGCGTGCTGTGAGATGCGCTTTCTGTATGTGTATACTTCAGTGTCTGCGCTCTGAAAACTGGACCGAACAGAGTTCTCTCTTGCGTCGTCAGATTTATCCATATGTCTGCTCTTCTCTTGCTCCCACATATTGACATTTTTGAACGTTTTAGGAGACGTGCAGCAAGTGTATGTTATCTTATGTCCCGCCGGTTAATATAATTCTCACCAGTTTTATCAAAAGTCCAATTTCCTCTCTTCCACAACACACGGTCAGTCCAGGCTGGTGTGCGGCACTTTTCACTGGTGTCGTAGTCCTCCGAAAACAGGTCATATTTGTAAGTGGGGGCAAAATCCAGCTTCCCTTCAATAAAGCCCCTAAAAATCTGAAATATTAATAAAATTAAAAAATTGTTTAAAAGAGTGACAAAATAAATAAATAAATAATTCCACTGATATAGTTGTTTTTTCCTAATATACCTGTCCAGCATTCTTCTGCTCCAGCAGTTGATCTCCAGCATTCAGTGCATCCCAATTCTGCTGTCTGATCAGTTCCTTTGTCTCTTCATTAGGAATATTTATTCGGTAGTTGAAGTCTCCACACCAGAATACATAATCATGGGAGTACAGGAGACGGCCCTAAATAAATAAATAAAAATAAATAAATAAATCTTATTATTTAATATTAATAATAATATTTCAGATTTTTTATTTATTTACATAATATAAAATAATAAATATAAATACTATATATTAATATGTATTATTACATACTTAATATTATTAATAATAAAAAATATAAATACTATATTACATCTAACATTTATTATAATGTATTTAAATAATATTAAACTGTCATAAGCAGTAATAAATAACAATAATTAAAAGAAGAAGGTGTTCATAAATGGATCAGAAGTAACAGATTTTTTTTACATCATAAATGAATTACCATGGGGAAGGACAGTTTGCGTGCAATTTCATTGTAGTCGTCGTTCCTCTCTTTGACCTGTGATTGGCCGGCAGCAAAGTGAGAGCACACAAAGCAGATGCTGGTGGTGTGGAAGAGCATGCGAATAGCCACACCCCCTTTATTACCAGTGGCTCCACCCATTCCAGTCTTCACTGTGTCCACAGCAACGTCCCTATGTGAGGAAAACACACAATATGAGATCTCAGAATAATTTCTAATCCTTTTGAATATCTGAAATCACACTGATTTGTCAATCACAAAAAGAAAGCAAATGTGAGTGAGAATACCTGATGAATTGTGCGTGCTGGGGGCGTATGAAGACGAAAAGACACACACCCACCAGCTGCTCTGAGGCCAGCAGCACGTATTTGTGCTCTCGTGAGATGTTCTTCTGCAGTTCTGCAGCCCACAGCTTCTGATTAGTAGTGCTACCAAGGAGGAAAGAGAAGTTAAATAGTTATACTCACAGGAACGAGAGCATGGAAAAAATATTTAACCTCAAATACTGATTGAAAGAAAAGTGAATTGGGTTGCACATCACAACTACTGGCACTGACCAAAGGAAGTTTTGCTTCTGCTTACTATTTAACTACAACCAGTAAACTTTAAAATCTCTAACGTCAAGTTAGTTCTTACCTTGCGCTGACGATATTTCCAGCATTCAGCTCTACCATTTCCTCAAAGCCAATAGCAAAGATGTCCACTGGGTTAGATTTTCCATCTGCATGACAAAACGTTGATCTTGGACTCTGATATATGAAGCCACTTAAGTATTTGCACTAGTTTTATTAGTCACTGACCGATATTAAAACAAAGCAACCTCATTTCCTTTCAAAGTATCATTTGCATTGACTTTGCATCAACACATACCCTGGAATTCTGGGTGGCCGGCCTTCTTAGGGGCATCCAGGAGCCAGTCATTGAGCGTGTGGTTACGAAATGCAATACTGCGGAACTGCTTGCCCCCGTTCACGTTCCATGTACCCACACACACTCTGATCTTCTTGGGACGCGTGTACTTGAAGTGGTTCTGACACATGCCCAGAAGCACTCTGGGAGAGGCTAAAAACAGAAAGGGTGAGACATTTATAAAAAACCTACATTCAAATGATCAATGATAATATGAAATAATATCTTGAACATTAAACTAATGGCCAGAGTACACAAAAAGAAAATGCAGAGCATATGACATCGACCAAACCACTGAGACACACCAATCGGATGAAATTCTGTCCTTGAAAGTTGGACAATAAGATATGATGCATTAAAACAAGACTACACAGCAAATTAAAAGGATGATAAAAAAGAAAAAACACACTGTACAATGTCAGAGGCGCCAAAATAAACAGTGAGTTTATGAAACAGGGAGCCATAAACATTTATGGATTTATGGCTGGTATGTGTATACTGTACCTGACTGTAAAATGGGCTCAGAGACTGACATTGTAAGCATTAAGGAGAAAAAGAAAGAAAAAAGGGAGGGGGAAGAGAGAGAGAGGTTAAAGTTAGCCGTTAGACAGATAACAGCATTAGTCCTCTGGTTCAACACTAATCTCACACCCAAAGCAGCCGGGATTCATAGATTAGCACGCTAACATAAGGAAATGCATTCAGATCCAGAACCACAGGATGAAATCAGTCCACTACAGCAGACTGATCCCATAAAAACCGTGACCACAAACACAAGATACCAGTATAAGTCAGTATAGTTTAATATGCATTTGCCAGGCATTTTATATGTATTCCTTCATGGGCAATGTATTTACAATATATTTATATTATGAAAATATTTACATTATAATTAATTCCATTATTAATATAATTATAATATATTTATATTTGATTTTCTTAATATTATAATTGTCCTGGTTTATTTCTGACTCTGGATTGTGGTGTTGTAAATCATACCGTACAGGCTGCTGGTTGTGAGGAGGGCTCGTGCCTTGTCTGCCAGGTCACTGTTCAAGGTGCTGCCCAGTCTCAGGATGTCAATGGCTTCCTGTTTAGAGCTGTCAAAGAAGTTGTTCTGAATGGTTCTGGTGACTGAGCGAGCTCCGTCTTTTAGCTTTCCACCCTACAGAAAGAAAAAAACAAAATAAAACAAAACAAAACAGTTAATCTAAAATAGTTATGGTCTGGAACATCAAAACTATATATATAAAAAAAAAAAACTAAACTCACAAAACATTCATGTATTCAAAGGGACATGACAGCAATACTAATATTTCTTTGCAGTTAGCTAGATGAGGCTTGGTGTTTGAGGCCTAGCTGAGAGAGGGTTACAGGCTTTTATAACAGTCTGTAAAGAGGCCTAATTAAAGTTGAGAGCACTGCCAGTTACAGTAATGTCTACTAACATAAAAGAACCAACACAAGACAGCAGACTAAGATAAATACAGCATCACAACTCAAATCAACATAACATCAACACAACTAACTACGGTCAACTTACCACACAGGCAGAGGAACAGCCAGAGGAAAGCAAGGAAAAACAGCAGATACACGAGTTAAGACAATCGTTAACTTACTGGGTGGAGATGGCACAGAAACGCCCATTTTCAGCTCTCTGCTGCTCTTTTTGCGCTTTATTGTTTGTATGTGTTTTACAAGCCGACACGTACCTTAGCCTTGCCATCCAGGGCACCAGTGCCTGCGTAGATCTTGCTGACCGAGTCTCCATTGGTGGACCACATGGAGCGGAAAACCTCCTGAAAGCGTGCCACCAGCTGAGGCTTCTCAGTCAGACCCATGTCTTCCAACTGTTTTGGAAGCATCTGAACAACAGAGATATTTCACACGAGAGGTATTAAAAAAAAAACCTTCCAAATATGTTATACTGTAGTAAGAAAACAGAACTGTGTTACAAACACACCTCAAGTGCAATGAAGGCCTGGACGCTGTTTGTTCGGTCCAAGCAGTCTAGACAATTGGAACGAATGGTCCCAGTTTGACATCTGTGGTGAACAAAATAGTGGGAGACAATTTCATGAACTAGTTTTGGTCACTTTGTGATAATCAGCATAAGCCAACTACTTTTTAAATGTAAGGATTTAAAAGATTTAAATTAAAATGTAAATTGTTCATAATTTTAATTTTCACAATTTTGTACATCTTAATTGCATAAATAAACTTTGTCCGTCTTCATTTCAGGCTGCAAAGCAACAAAATGTGATTATCTTAAAGGGGGGTTATTCTTTTCTATACCCACTGTGTGTGTGTGTGTGTGTGTGTGTGTGTGTGTATTTAAATTATTGAACAACACATTTACATATTCACAGTTGTCTGATGATGGTTGATGGTCTGCAGGTAAATACATTTTTTTATTTATTTACTTTTTAAAAAAAATGTATTTTGATCGTTTTCACTTTAAAATGATATATTTAAAATAATTATTACTATTATGTTAACTCACAAAACCCCCTGTAGTTCTCTCAAATAGCTGTTTGGGAAGCCCTTTATTATGTCATATTATACCATATC